GCAATCTATTTCTGTAAAGATTTACAGCCTTGGGAACCCTACCGGTCACCATGAGTCAGAATTGACTCGATGGCAGTGAGTTTTGGAGTGGAGTACCCTGTCTAAAAAGTTAAAGGAAACAGATGAAATCAATTATAGTAATGTATTTAATATATTTTAAATGTTATCTTAACATATAATTAATATGAATTCTTCATGGCATAGTTTACTCGTCTTGTTTGTACAGTCTTTGAAAAGTAGTGTATATTTTATACTTACTGCTTGTCCCCATTTGGTCAAGCTGCCACATTTCAGTGCTCAGTAGCTGCCATTGTAGCTAGTAGGTCCCCAGCAGGACAGGGCAGCCAGGTGGCAGTGCCCAACAGACATCAAGCGAATAAGTCTAGCTCCAGGGCCTGGCCCCAGGCAGGAGCTCAGATTGCTTGTTGAATAAATGAATGAGGGAATTAATAGATGAGTTAATGAATGTGGGGAGGCAAGAATAAATAAAGTAAGAAGGGAAGAGAAAGAGGAAACCAAAAACCAAACCACCCCTGCTGCCATGGAGTGATTCTGACTCACAGCGTCCCTAGAGGACAGAGCAGAACTGCCCACAGGGTCTCCAAGGCTGTCAATCTTTACAGAAGCAAAAAACAACCAAAAACAAACTCACTGCCGTTGAGTTGCATCCAACTCATAGTTGACCCCTTCTTGGGTTTCCGAGGCGGCATCAGTACAAAAGTAGATTGCCCAACCTTCCTTCTGAGGAGTAGCTGGTGGGTTTGAACCACCAGCCTTCTGTTTAGCAGTCAAATGCCTTAGGCACTACGCCACCAGAGCTCCCTACAGAAGCAAAGCCCAAACCAAACCTACTGCTGTCCAGTCGATTCTGACTCACAGCACCCCTAGAAGACAGGCTAGAGCTGCCTGTTTTGCTTACCTAGTGCTGCTCTGACAGGAATATACCACAAATGGGATGCTTGGACAAACAAGAGTTTATTCTCTTACAGTTTAGAGGCTTTAAGTCTGAGCTCAAAGTGCCAGGCTCTAGGGGCTGGGTGAAGACCCCTCAACCTTGGGCTTCAGCTCTGCCTTCTGCTCCCAGCCCACTGAAACTGGAGGCTTTTCTTCACTCAGCTGTTGGCTGCTGAGGCTGACAAGCCCAAGGTTGACAGGTAATAAAGTACAGTCCCGATGTTATCAGACCACACGGCAGGCATTGATTCAAGTCCATTAAAGGTCCCAAGGTCAGCAGAGCATGGCAGGCTGCTGAACAATGACACAGCTACATGCAGGGTTCAAGAGTGCCATAAGCTAGAGACCATTCCCGAAGCTGTTTCTTATATCCGGGAAGCAAACCACATACCCAAAGCAGCTACTCAGCTGCTCCAATAGATTCCACCATGGAGTTAATTACCATGCTCACCATAGGGAATAACTACAGTCAGCTGCCCAGCCACTCAACCAGGCCCAGGCAAGTTGACACACAAACTTAACCACCACATGCCCCATAGGGTTTCCAAGGCTGTCAGTCTTCATGGAAACAGACTGCCTCATCTTTCCCTTGCAGAACAGCTGGCAGGTTCAAATCATCTACCTTTTGTAACCAATAGGTCACCAGAGCTCCTAGAAGGAGGGAAGAAGAGGCGAATCAATGAATAAGGTGCCCCTGGGGCTTCTGTCCTGGTAGCTCCTCCCACTCTGCTTACCTACCGGCTTCTCCACCCACACACCTCCCAGTCCCTCCCCCGCCCTCAGCCCATCCTGTCCCTCTTCATCTTTCCCAGGCCTTTTCCATGCCTCCCAGCCATGCAGAATCGCTCTTCCTTGACTGGTGGCTCCACGAGGGGCTGCCTCCCGAAAACGAGTACCAGGTCATCTGGTACCTGACCTGGAGCCCTTGCTGCAAATGTGCAGTCCAAGTGGTCGAGTTCCTGAAGGCACACGGTAATGTGCACCTGAACATCTTTGTTGCCCGCCTCTACTACACCAAGAAACCAGAGACCCACCGCGGGCTCCACAGCCTGTGGCAGGCAGGGGCCCAGATCAAAATCATGTCTGCCCAAGGTAAGAGTCACCTAGGGCCGTGGGCAGGGAAACGTGGGGGCAGGATCGCAGAGGGACTGGGAGGAGGAGTGGGAGGATCTGGAATGCCAGCTGAGAGAGTGCCTGTGAGGAGCTGAGAAGGGCTGAGACAGGACCTGGTTCTGAAAGAAGGCAGGGGAGGATTGGGCCACAAGCCCTGCTTAGAGCTGACCCTTTCCACACCTCTTTCATCTCAGACCTTCATAGTGACCCTATGTTGTTGTTGTTGTTATGTGCCGTCGAGTCAGACCCGACTCATAGCGACCCCTCCTTGGGTTTCCGAGGCAGTATCACTACGGAAGTAGATTGCCCCATCCTCCTTCCGAGGAGTGGCTGGTGGGTTTGAACCGCCAGCCTTCTGGTTAGCAGTCAAGTGCCTTAGGCACTATGCTACCAGAGCTCCCAGTGACCCTATAGGACAGAGTGAAACTGCCCCATCTGGTTTCTGAGAAAATTGCCATATCTTTCTCCTGTGGACTGGTTGGTGGGTTCCCACTGCCAATCTTTTGGTTAGCAGCCAAGCATTAAACCGCTGAGCCACCAGGGCTCCATGGCAACAGGGGTTTTTTTTGTTTGTTTGTTTTCATCTCAGACTTTGAAAACTTTTGGGAAAACTTTGTGGACCATCAGGGAACACAGTTCCAGCCTTGGGAGAACCTGAATGCAAACTACAAGGCTTTGGACAGGATGCTTGAGGACATTCACAGGTGAGGGCATCCTCCTAGCCTTATCCCTCTCTCCTCTCATCTCCTGACCCTCGCCCTCATGCTCTTTCTGGTCTCTGACCAGATTCAACTCCTTCCTGGCCCTGCCCTCCTTCCCAGCTCTGAGGTGGTCCTCTCTGCCTGCTCTCTCCCCTGACTCTCTCCCCAGATCCCACCACTCCCCTCTCTTTGGAGAGCCTCCTTTTCTTCTCCTACCACCTCCACTTCCTAGGGCCTCACAGAGCCCCCACATGCTATTTCCTTCCATCTTACCAACCACTCACATTGTCTTGTTAACTTGAAAACAAATAGCATGAACATGTATAAACAGGAGGCTCAGAAAACTGGAGAACATCTGTTGAGACAGATAAGAGAACAAGGACCCCTGGTGGAAATGACTGAGGTGAGCAGATGCAGCAGGGCTTGGGGCCTGGGTCCATGTATTATCTTCTAGAATATTCCTGCCCTGGCCCTGTCACATGTCAACTATTCCAGAACTTTCCTGCACCCTCAGGCTCTACCCCATCTTCCTCCATCCTGTCCATCATCAACACCCCAACCCTTGCTCTGCTCATCCTTTAACCCATTCCCAAATTGCTCCCAATCACGTAGCCCTGGGATATGGGATATGACTTGGAGATGGTGATGGACAGTGAGAGAAAGATGACCTTAATGGTTCATTATCAGATGATACGGGAGTTAAGTTTGTGTGTCAACTTGGCTGGGCCTGGTTGAGTGGCTGAGCAGCTGGATGTAGTTATTCCCCATGGTGAGATTGGTAATTAACTCCATGGTGGAATCTATTGGAGCAGCTGAGTAGCTGCTTTAGGGATGTGGTCTGTGTCCAGTATATAAGAAGCAACTTTGAGGAAGGTCTCCAATTTATGGCACGCTTGAACCCTGCACATAGCTGAGTCATTGTTCAGCAGTCTGCCATGCTCTGCCAATCTTGGGACTTTCAGTGGACTTGAATCAATGGCCTGCTGTGTGGTTTGGTAACATTGGGACTGTGAATTTTCACTTGTCGATCTTGGGTTTGTCAGCCTCAGCAGCCAGCAGCTGTCTGAGTGAAGAAAAGCCTCCAGCTTTAGTGGGCCGGGAGCAGGAGGCAGAGCTGAAGTCCAAGGTTGAGGGGCTTTTACCCAGCCCCTAGAGCCCGGCACTTTGAACTTGGACTTAAAGCCTCCAAACTGTAAGAGAATAAACTCCCGTTTGTTCAAGCCATCCTATTTGTTGTACATTCCTGTCAGAGTGGCACCAGGGAACCAGAACAGATGAGTTTTTATAAGAAAGTAGGATTGGGTTCAATGAGGCCTGAGCTCATCAGACCTTTTCCAAAACATGGAAGAAAAAGTTGAAGGACCCCCAGGAATCAGACAGGGAGGTGAAAGGGCCTCTGAGTGGGCTAGGCAAAACAGGAAGTGAGCTCCTGGCTCTTTTGCCTATAAGCAAATACAGTGAGAACATGGTGGGAAGAAGTTAGCCAGGCCCAGAAGTGCTAAATAGGTCCCTGGAACATCCATCCATTGCCATCACAAGACTGGCCCCACACTAAAATGAGTTTGGCATAGTAGGGTGCAACTCTGGGCAGGCAGACCCAGAAGAAAGGAAGTAGGTGGACAGTGTTCAGTTTGGAGCAAGTCTGTAAGATATGCCAGAGAACACATAGGGGCCCACACAGAGCTGCTGTTCCTCCCTTGGCCACGATCACCAGTCCCCGCTGCTAGTTGGTTGGTTCCTGGACATGATGTCTAAGGGCAGGACCAGAGGGTCCTGTCTAGCTGCTTCAGCACCACTGTCCCAACTTCTCTCTGCTCCCTGTTTCCTCCAAGGAGGGGCTCCAGCGGGGTCACAGATGTCTGACGAACACATCTCGTAATTGTCTCGATCATCCAAATCGAGAAGTCAGAGTGGCCGGGTCAGAAGGGCACGTCCTCCTCGAGAATGTGGACAAAGCAGAAGGCCAGTGTCAAGGACCGCACAACGTCCCTGATGCCCCAGGCAGTGTGTGTATTGCACATGTCCCTTCTCCCTGTCTCAATTGGCTCACACTTAATGTCTCTCCTGGCAGGAATCCCTGGCCCCAGCAGCAGTATCAGCACTGATCTTAGTGAAGGCCAGCAAGGGTTCCAGTCTCACTTCCCGTCTGGGTTACCTAGTGCTACTGTAGCATAGAGGACCCAAGTGGGGAGCTGTAAAGGACGGACATTTATTTTCTCACAGTTCTGGAGGCTCAGAGTCCTTGTCAGTGACCCTGGGTATTCCCTATCTCTGCCTCGGTAGCTGGCTGGGTCTCTGGGTCTATCCTATTCTTCATGTAGCTGAGAAGTGCTTAGGACCCTCCCCACACTGGCATCATCTCAACCATTTGCATTACATTAGATTACTTTATGGAAGGTGATTATGTTACCATGGATCAGATTACAGCCACTGTTACAGGGACTCAGATTCCAACACTTATGTCAGGGGGACACAATTCCACCATAACACTTTGCATCCTCTCTCGACCTGCTTCTCAGGCCAGGGGGACCTCTCAGCTCTCTGACTTGGACCAACACCCCATTGTGCAGACCTGAACACTCTTCCTGGCAGGGGCTGGCTTGTTCTGGCCTCTTCCCTCATCATTGGCCCCCAGGAACATTAGGACAGGCAGAGTAGAGAGGTTACCATCCACACAGAGCCTCTAAGCACCTTTCTGTATTTCACCTGCCAGAGGTCTAATAAACCCACTGCAATCCCAGGGCCCCTGGGCAGAGTGGAGTGTGTCAGGCAGGGGTGGCAGCAGAGTGGCAGGGAAAGGTTCATTTGGGAGTCACATGGGTGAAATCTCAAATATGAGGTGGCTACTAAGGAAGTCATCCCTTAGAATTCACCTTGCTGAAGATGCTCTTTGTTCTGCATTTGATGGTCCTTGGTTGACCTGTGACAAGGCAAACAGACAGCTTTCAGGATGGAAACTTGATTGAAGTCCAGGTCTTCAAATCCTGATCTGGGAGGGCCTTTCTCACTCACTTTCACTCACTGCTGTCGAGTTGATTGCGACTCATAACGACCCCTCCTTTGATTTCTGAGGCAGTATCTCCACAGAAGTAGATTGGCTCATCTGCCTTCTGAGGAGTGGCTGGTGGGTTTGAACCTCTAGCCTTCTGGTCAGCAGTCAAATGCCTTTAGGCACTACACCACCAGGGCTCCTTAGGAGGCCCTGTTGTTGTTGTTGTTGTTGTTGTTGTTATGTGCCGTAGAGTCGGACCCGACTCATAGCGACCCCCCCTTGGGTTTCCGAGGCAGTATCACTATGGAAGTAGATTGCCCCATATTAGGAGGCCCTAGAGGGTAGCAATTCCTCGTCTGCTGTGCCATCTTCCCTACTCCTGTCATTAAAGGATGAGGAATCGGGGGCAGTGTATCAGGGAGGAGGGGGCCTCAGCCAGACAGGCCTGGCTATGGTCCTGCTCTGCTCCTTATTGGCTATGTGACTCTAAGCCACTATCTTAGCCTTTCTGTGCCTGTGACCTCATCTGAGCTGTCAGGAGAGTGACCCTCCCCTCTCAGTGCTATTGGGGAACTGGGGTAGAAGACGGGGCACTGGATCTGCCTGGCACACCTGCCTCTGCCAGGGCCAGAGGTGGGAACCCACAGCCCAGACCCCAGTCCTCACTTTCCATCTTGCTTGGATTTCTGTTAGGATACTGGTGCCTGCAGGGGCCATGGTGGGGGTATGGAGAGCGTACTCAGATGGTCTGGGAGAACACTCACAGATAAGGGGTCTTCCTGAGGCCAGCAGCATTTCTTTGAATGAGAAATGAAGCCAGAGCACCCAACACCAAGGGTCAGGCTGGGATGAGCCCAGCATGGAGTCTATAGCACCAGGGGCCAGACTGCGGATAAGGTCAGCACAGAGGCTACAGCCCAACCAGGCTTCAGGGACCAGCTACCTAGTACTGCCTGCTCTACCCTGCAGGGCCCTCTCTGCTCTGGGCTCTGCCCCAGCTCTGCCTCCTACCTCCCCCTCCACAAGGCCCAGGCATCATCTCTCTCTTCTGGGCTCCTTCCCTGCTCCTGACTCAGCCGCACCCCCCCCCCATACCTGTCCCAGTGAATACCTCCACTACTGCTTCCCCAGGCCCCGCCTCTCTGTGTCCTTGGCCATATTCCATAATTGCAGCCACCAGGTCTGCTTATAGCTATTCACCATGCTCATTGGACTTCACAGTGAAAGATGGTTGGACAGCTGTTGGCCCCTCCTGGCCAACAAAGAAAGCAGAGAGTCTCCCTTCCTTCCTGCCAGGGACCCTTCCTTCCTGAGGGGACAGGAGCCCAGAGTGGCTTCTGAGCATGCTCTCTGAATGTTTGATTATCCCCTTCTTGCTGCACAGGAGCACAATGGATCTGCTCACCAAAGAGATGTTTGACTCACAATTTAACAACCGGCGCCGTGTCGGAAAGCCCTACTACACAAGGAATGCCTACTTGTGCTACCAGCTGAAGGGCCCCCAACCCGTCAAACGCTGCTTTCAGTACAAGGTGCCGATTGGGCTCTCTGGGCACAAGGTTGGCAGGGGCTGAACCTATTGGATTTGCCTACGTTCCTCAATTGCCATGGCAATGTCCTCTGTGTTTTCTTAGCCTTGGGCCCTGCTGTTGCATGGCCTACTGGGCAGAGTTAGCCCGGACTTCCTGGGGCCGTGTACATTGCCTCATCCCCTGGGCTTCAGCAGATGCTGTTCCCTCCAGGATAATGTCCTGGTCCCCTCTCAGGGCCCCCACCAAACTCTGTCTTCCCTGCAGCCCCTCGTGCCGGATGTCTTGCCTGAGCAGCGTGGTTATTACTGGCTTCATCCCCATTTCATGGATAAGGAAACTGAGGCTCTGGGCAGTCCCAACTGTGTGCCCTCGTCTGTAAAATCATTGCAAAACCGCATTCGTGCGCAGGCTGCCATGGCTTTGATGACACAATGACTATCACACTCCGCATGACATGTAGTTGCTACTCAATTAAGGCACTCCCTTCAGCCTCCAGCCCCATTTTACTTCCCCTTTACTCACTGTCAAATTGCCGATACCAGTGGCTGAGTCTCCAGCATCAAAGCAACATGCAGGCCACCCCAGTACAACAAACTGACAGATAGGTGACAGTCAAAACCCTGAAACCAAACCCACCCCAGTTACTGTCAAGCCGATCCTGACACTCGGCGACCCCGTGTGTGGCAGGGGGAACGGCAGGCTTTCTTGACTGGAATCTTACAGAAGCAGGTCACCAGGCCTTTCTTCCGTGGCGTTATTGGGCGGATTCAAGCTGCTGACCTTCCAGTTAGCAGCCAAACACTTCACTGGTGGCATCACCCAGGGATGCCACAAGCCTTCCAAAAAAAACCAAACCAAACTCCCTGCCATCGAGTTGATTCCAACTCATAGCAACCCCCATTGGGTTTCCGAGGCTGTAAATCTTTACGGAGGTAGATTGCCCCATCTTGGCATTTGGCTGCTACGTGGAAGGTCAGCGGTTCAAGCCCACGAGCTGCTCCACAGAAGGAAGGAGCAGGGGTGTATGGCGATCTCTTGTAGGTGGAGTTTAGAGCTTAGTCCTGGGGATGGCCAGGTGCTAAGGCCTGTGACTCGGCCATCGAGTTGAATATCCCACTTTTCACTTCCCTAAAGATTTACAGCCTCAGAGGCCCAATGGGGGTTGTTATCAGTGGAATTCAACTCGATGGCAGTCACAGGCCTTAACACCTGGCTGTTCCTAGGACTAAGCTCTAAATTCCACCTACAACACATCCCCATATACCCCTGCCCTTCTGCTCCCCACCTGTCTCCCTACCTGCCCTGCCCATCCCTCCCATCCTGACCTGCTCTTATGCCCACTTGGAAACATCTTCAGATAACCTGTTGGACACTTGTCCATCAGGGAGCGCCACAGTGTTGGAGACTGGGCCAGCAGCCTCCTTGTCTGGCTGTGTGCCCTGACAGGCGGGGCTCTGTGTCTACTCAGATAACACTGTGGGCGCTTTGTTGAATTAATGGATGAGTGAGCCAGCCAGCGAGGGCCCAAAGGAGTGAAGGAGGTGTCTTTTCCCAGTCCAGCTCATACCCACAGAGGTTCACCGGGCAGCCTCTTGTCTCCACCTCAGTCCAGCCTCCGAACTCTACCCTCTAATCCTTCTTTCTCTCTCGGGGACTCTCCCTAGAAAAGTTACCATGTGGTAATTCGCTTTATTGACGAGATCACTTCCATGACACTGGACCCAGCCAATAACTATGATATCACCTGCTACCTCACATGGAGCCCCTGCCCTTACTGTGCCCAGAGACTGGTCAAGTTCATCAATGATTGCCACTACGTGAGTCTGCGCATTTTCATGTCCCGACTGTACAACCACTGGTGCAAGGACCATATACAGGGCCTGCAGCATCTGCATAAATCCAACATCCAAGTGGCCGTCATGACCAAAGAGGGTAGGCGCTTTCTGTGGTGAGCTGCCAGGAGATGGGGAGGCTTCGTGGTTCTGGGAGAGAGGGCTGGGGGTCCAGCTGTGGCCTGGGATCTGAGTCTGCCTAGAAGAGAATATTATGGGGTAGCAACATAGCCTGAGGAAAGGAAGTGAGGGGAGGGAGAAGGAGAAGACTCTGGCCCTGTGGGGTGAGGGCTTGCAGACCCCACCTTGAGGCCTGGTGGTTTCCCCTCTTGCCCCTCAGATTTCACAGACTGCTGGGAAAACTTTGTGGACCACCAAGGGGAGCCCTTTGTAGAATGGAAGAATCTGGAGTCATACAGTAGGAGCATAGCTCGACGGTACAGGAAAATTGTGGAGCGCTCACCCACCGTAGGTCCCTCACCTCCCTCTTCTCCTCCCCACCTGCACCCCCATCACACTTTCCCTGCTTCAGCCCCCCGCCCTATCTCTCTCTCCAGGCTCTCTCTCCCCACTGCTCACACACACATACCACATACAAATTACACACATACATATGCCATGTGTATACCACACACATACATCACACATACACCAAACACACACATACACACTACACATACATGCATGCGCACCAAATATACACACATACCACATGCACACCATACACATACCATGCATACACACACTACACATACACACACCACACATACATACACCACATACACACCACACAAACACCACACGCACTGTACATACATACACCACACATACACACCACACGCACTACACATAAACACACCACACATATACACACACCATACACACACCACACATACATACACCACATACACACCACACAAACACCACACGCACTGTACATACATACACCACACATACACACCACACGCACTACACATAAACACACCACACATATACACACACCATACACACACCACACATACACATACACCATACACACACACTGCATACACGCACCACATATACACCACACACACCACACACACACACCTACATACACACCCCACACATACACACTACACACATATACACACACTACACACACCACACGCACCATATGTACACACCACACATACGCCACACGTACACACACATGCACACACACCACACATACACACCACACATATGCACCACACATACACACCACACACACCACACATACGCACCACACGTACACAACTTTCCCTTTTCTCACAGCACCCTTTTGCTCCCCTCTTTCATCAAGAATTCCCAGCTTCCTTGTATCTCTGCCTTCTCTTAGAAGCTCTTTTTTTAAATTGTGATTTGAGTGGAAGCTGTCTTGGATGCTGTCCCAAGACCTCACCTTGACCTCCTGGTGCCGGCTTTTTTCCCACCCCCTTGTTTTCATTTTCACCTCTCCTTCCCTTCCTCCTGGCACAATGTCATGCCAATCTGATTCCTCATTTCTCCCCTATTCTCTCAACAGCCCCATCAAGATGTTTTAAATGAAGACTTCAGGAATTTGCACCTTTGATCCCCACCACCCTCATTGCTAAGATATATGGACCATCTCTGTAGCACCTCAGGGCTTCATACACGACTGACTCTTAGCAGCAAGTAACAAGCTTTGCATACTCACCCGTCCACCAATGCTGAGCCTTACCCCAAGTCCAGAAGCTTTTCTTTCCACCCTCATTCATATCGGTTTTCTTTTGTAAATGACTGTGTAATTTTATAATTGGCAAAAATAAAGATACATTTTAGGTCTATAAAACCTGGGCCACCTTCTAGGGAGACAGTCAAATTGTCATCTATGAAAATGAATAGAAGAGACTTTTATTCTGCCGCACTGAGAAACAAGTTTTTATTTGAAACATTCCTGTCTAGTTTAGAATAGTTGTGTTATTTTGTTGAGATTAGTATCACTGGCCTCTTCTCCCAATCTGTGTCTAAATAAATTAGGTGTATCTCTTTTGAGCAGAGGTGCCCCCATAGAATTGATTGTTAAAAAGAGAGACAGAGGAAAAAGAAGAAAGAACTTTTATTTTGGATTCTTCATGGAAACAACTAGCACCAACTCTGGCTAATTAAATAGAAAGAGAAGGAAAAAAAATACTTTTTGCATGGACCACTGAATCTCTAGGGAAGGTGGATGACTAGATTGGGAGGCTTCAAAGCCAGGAAGGATCATGCTGTAAAGCTGCTCTGGTGAAGACAGGCTTCCTACAGAGATAATGACTCCACCCACACCAGCACCGCTGTCTTCTCAGCCTTCCCACCAGAATGGGGAAAAAGAAAAACGGGGGAAACAAGTTGCAATAAATAATGAGGAGAGAATAAAATGAAAGCATGAAATCAAGTGCACCCCACTAGATGTGAGCATAATCAATCCTACTACACAGCAGCTAAGAAACACCTTTTAAAAGTGAAACAAAGGTTGAAAATTAATGGATGGACAAAGAGATACCAGGCGAATTAAAATTTGAAAAGAAAGCAAGAGTGGCAGTATTAGATAAGATGGAGTTTAAGGCCTTAAACAAGTTATAGAGGGACCTTATGTAATGGTCAAAAGAAACAGACTAAGGTATAACAAACAAAAACTTGTATGTACCAAGCAACATAGCAGCCAAATATATGAAGGAAAAACTATGAGGGCTGCAAATTTGTTCAGAGAGGCATTGTTTATAGTTCAGGGGATGGATCATGACTGGTCTAAACCTGTCACAGTAATCCTATCTACCTTGGGTAGGTATTTTTTAGCCTCCCTTGCAGCTAGGATTGGCCATGTGACCCAGGTCTGACCAATCAAATGTAAGAAATTGTCTGCTGGAGGAGTCTTGTGATTGAAAAAACAGAAAGACACTTTAGGCAAATAGGATTTAATTGCAGTGCCTCTCCTTGTTTTTCATGCCTGTGAGCGACATCGAGCTTGTGATGTCCGGAACTATGGCACCTATCTTGCAGCTAAGAGGTGATGAGCATGAGGACAAAAAAGCCTATGAGTGTGAGTCTTTGATGTCATTGTTAAGTCACTAAAACAATAGCTACTGAGGTAGAGCATTTTTAAAACTGAGGCCTTGGCATGACTAAAGACCTCGAGCTAAAGTCTAAGCTTGTGTTAAGTGTCTCTATTTTGTTAGCCAATGTAGCCTGGTACCTCTGTAAAATTTCCATTTCACACTTAGATACAGACAGCTTCTGTAGAAAACTGTGGTCTTGCTCCCATGTTCTGCTTATTTTGAATTTGTGGTTAGAAGTGGCTGATGTTAAGAGATTATTCAACATGAACAGGTTCAGACATAGTGTTAAACATGTGACTTTGGTGGTCAGCCTATTCACAGAAAATACCCCCTTCGCTCCTCCTCCAAAAAAATAAAAAAGGTGCTTCCCGATCTAGTCGTCCGCCTTCCCTAGAGATTCAGTGGTCATGCAACATCTTTTTAATACATCTTTTTTTTTCTTCTCTGTTTTAATTAGCCAGAGTTGATGCTAGCTCTTTTTTTTTCCCCCCTAACCTGTGCCTGAGTTCCCTAACCTTGTTCTAAGCTCTTTAAACGTCAATCAATCATTTGTATTTATAAGCCTTTGTAAATGAGCAGGTCTCTGGAACACATCACCAGGGCTTCTTGACTTTGTTTCCTCATTTTGCAAAATGCTCTTCCACTGTAATAAATTCTTTGTTTTTTACTTTAAACAAATTTGTAGGGTTTTTTTTTCTTCTTTTTTTTTTAACTACAACACTACCCTAGAAATATTTGTCTCCAGTCTTCTCATTAAATGAAATAATAAATGTATAATTCAAATCACTGCTCAGCAGGTATTCTATTCGTTGTAGCCACACATGCCCTAACTGATGTAACTACAAAGCCAAATCTACAGGACACAGCAGAATTTATACTCAGAGAAAAATGAATGGGCTAAATGCTTTCATTATAAATAAGAAAGATAAGTACAGTGATTTACTATTCATTTTAAGAGATTAGGAAAACCAATAAAAGGAACCAGAAATATAAAAATGAATGAACACTCTGGGCCTCTGGGCCTCTGGGCCTCTGGGCCTGGTTGCTAGGGAGCTGCTGGGACGTTTGAAAAGTGGATACGCAGGCGGTGAAAGACCCCGCCTGCAGGCTGGCAATGGCGACCATGGTCTCCAAGTCCGACCAACTTCTCATCGTTGTGTCCATCCTTGAAGGCTGATGTGCAATCCATAATGAAGGCTGTGTGGTCTTTCATCTTCACAAGTCTTCTTCACTTTATCAGCAAGCAAGGTTGTGCCATCTGCCTATCACAGATGGTCGTCATTTCCCTAAATGTCCAAAGCCTATTCTCATAGCAGAAGCCAAGTTTGATGGTGAACAGTTGGCTTCTGATCCTGTGGACCACACTGAGCAGCCAGACTTTGCCACTGAGTTGGTTTGAGAAATTGGTAGGAAAGCCCTTCATCAGGCACAGGCTACAGCGTAATCCTATGGAACTCCAGTGTTTTGCTTTGGATCCTTTATCTTCAGTCAAGGAGACCATAGATTACATTGTTCTGGACTTAAGAACCGCTCAAGAAACAAAGCCACCACCAAAATGGTATCAGTTACTGAGTGATGAATATACCAAGTTCAAGTCTGAAATACAGAGAAGCATTGCTTTGGAAACAGCCACAAAAGCACCAGCGGATAGCTTTAAAGCAAAGGGAGCACCCCGTCGGGATGGAAAAGTATATGCCAGCCTGTCTGGACTTGACCCCAAGGACATTGTGGCAGTGCTGAGTGAGGATGCAGGCTGCCATCAGATTGGACCAGCAGAGTATTGACTGACTCCTTCATTAACGTCAGTGACTAGAGCGTTTGCCACCCAGCTGGAGCAGAAAGACAACGTGAATTTTTCTTTTACTGTTCTTTACTGGGAGATGATGTTACAAATGAACCCGTCACTGATTTGATCAGCCCAAGCTTTGAGTCAGAGAGAGCATCTGTTCGCACACGCAGCAGTGAAGCTCTTTGTATTTACCTGACTTTTCAGTCTAGACTTGGGATCCATCTCTGTTGTGGAGACTGGTCACTTGGAAGCACAGAAATACCATTGACTGGATTACTCAAGAAGGGCAGTCCAGAAATCAGTGACCAGCCAGTCACGGTTAGGGTGCTTTTACTCCTGAGCCACCAAACCGAGCCCAACAAAAGCTGGCACCTTTTCCTGTGGAGCTGGCCCCGACTGTGGGAGTGGCCGTGGCTCTCCAGAGAGAAGGCGTAGGTGCCCAGTCTTGAATTGAATTAAAAACCCAGAATGAACAAGACCCAGAACATTCAAAGAAGAGAGTTTTAACTCCCATAAAGGAGAAGACACCTACTGTGCCGAGAAGACACCTACTGTGCCAAGATCACCAAGCGTGTCCCCTGCTCTGCCTCACAACCAGTCACCTCCAACAAAAGATGATGCAACAGGAAGTGAAGTGGAAAGCTTACAGAATGATAGAGACACAAGACAAACTCCAAAGGCTATGACTTCTTCTGTGTCTGCACTGGCTCCGTGACTCCAGCCAGGGCTTCAGAAACAACTTCAGGACGGATGATAGCTCTTCCAGCAACATCGCGTCACTTTTGCTTTTCGATGGACTTAAGGATTATCCATGTCTTGGAAGGTGGCTTTCCAGTCAACTGGATATTAAGGTACTCATACCCATCCTTTGGAAGTTCACCTCTCATAATGACTAAGCCTCCTACAGAAGTTTGGAAAAACCTGGGAGTGCTTCTACCGCAGTCTTACTGTGCATTTGATTTTGCAACTATGCCTCATCCATTGCTGGTCGAATTATGACACAGGATAAAATGAGTCAAGATTTACATCTGGGAGTCGCAAAAATTCAGCTTTCTACCATCTTATCTTCAGCAAAAACCCACTTTCTAGGTGCTAATGGTGAACAGCGCTGGCATCACACTTACAGTGAAACCATACCTGTTAGAGCAGCACAACGGTCAAATAACAGAAGAGTCGATCTTTCTTACACAATGACTCTCGAAGATTATGGGCTAATAAAATTGCATGAGATTTTTGTCTCTGAGTCATCTCAGGATTTTTCCGCTCTGGTGGCGTAGTGCCTAAGGCATCTGACTGCTAACCAGAAGGCTGGAGGTTCAAACCCACCAGCCACTCCTTGGAAGGAAGGTTGGGCAATCTACTTCTGTAGTAATACTGCCTCGGAAACCCAAGGAGGGGTTGCTATGAGTCAGACCTGACTCAAAGGCAGTGGGTTGTTTTTGTTTTGTTTTGTTTTGTTTTTTTTAACCACAGAAGCCATCTTCTCTTCCCCCAGCACTTTGTCCTTCAGAAATCCATACAGAACCCCGTGAAACCTTAGAATACAAAGCAGCACTTGAGGTAGAAATGTGGAAAGAAATGCAAGGGGACATTTTTGAAAATCAGCTAAAACAGAAAGAACTGGTTCCTATGCAGGAGTGGAAGAAAAGGGACCAAGAGACAGAATCATTAGTAAAGAAAAAGGTGGCTGAATATACTATCTTGGAAGGAAAACTTCAAAAAACT